CGTTTTACCGCGGCAGCGCCGGCGGCGACGACGACGATGTCCCCGGCGCCTGGCCGACCAACATCGGCGCACCGGAGGCGGCGGAGATCCACCACTACTGCCTCTCTGTGCCGCCGGGCTGTCGTCAACTAGAAGATCGACAAGGAGGCTTCGCGACGTGATACGTCCATTTTGCATTATGCTTTTATATTGATATTTATTGCATTATGGGTTGTTATTACATATCATGGTACAATAATTATGCCTTTTCTCTTTTATTTTACAATGTTTACATGAAGAGAGAGAATGCCGGCAGCTAGAAAAAGGAGAAAATCTAAGAGACCTATTCTGCACAACTCCAGAAGTCCTGAAATTTTATGAAGAATTATTTTGGAATATATAAAAAATATTGGGCGAAGAAATACTAGAGAGGGACCCATCAGGTGGCCACAAGCCAGAGGGGGCCACCTGGCAGGTCTCCGGTGCCCATCTTCTGCTATATGGAGGGTTTTGACCTGAAAAAAATCATAAGGAAGCTTTCGGGACGAAGCGCCGCCGCTGTCTCGAGGCGGAACCTGGGCATAAGCAATCTAGGGCTCCGGCGAAGCTATTCTGTCGAGGAAACTTCCCTCACGGAGGGGAAAATCGAAGTCATCGTCATCACCAACGATCCTTTCATCGAGAGGGGGTCAATCTCCATCAACATCTTCACCAGCACCATCTCCTCTTGAACTCTAGTTCATCTCTTGTATCCTATCTTTGTCTCAAAACCTCAGATTGGTATCTGTGGGTTGCTAGTAGTGTTGATTACTGCTTGTAGTTGATGCTAATTGGTTTATTTTGTAGAAGATCATATGTTCAGATCCTTAATGATATTTATTACCTCTGATTATGAATATGAATATGCTTTGTGAGTAGTTATGTTTGTTCATGAGAATATGGTTCGTTTGATATTTTGATGAGATGTATGTTATCTTTTCTCTAGTGGTGTTATGTGAACGTCGACTACATGACACTTCACCATGATTTGGGTCTAGGGGA